TTGACAGAAGTGTTGACATGTAACTGGTACATATTGCTTTCAAATAATGCTCATTTACTGCAAAGTAAAATTTATATATTTTAAAAGTTTTATGAAAATTGTCACAGTGATCAGGTTAAAAATACTTGTGGCCTGGTATAAATTAAATATGTGTAGGTTGTATACCCGGGATTGCCAGTTCTTCATCTTTTTTAATATTTTGGAATTATCAATCTGTAACAGAAAATGTAGAACTCCTCTATTTTTGGAAATATACAACAATCTCGATGTCGCTTGGATCAAATTGTTGAATAAATGATCAGCAGTTTATTGCATTTATGAACCCTTCCTAATTACGGTTTTAAAATAAAATATATTTACAATAAATTCCACTGTCGAACATTATCATGCAGTACAAAATGTTAACATCGTTTTTAGAAAGTTTGCTGGAATCATAAACTGTGCTATGTCGCAAAGTTACAGAAAGTCAAGTACATTGGCGTTCACAAAATAATAACGGCATATTTGCTGGTGAAATAAATTTGTAAATAAATTACTTACTTGAAAAACGTAGTTCGAGACCCATTATCGTCATTGGTGCACTGGGCTCCAGTAGATGTAACAGGGATGCAACTAAATGATTGTTTGTCGTACGCGAGAGTACTGTGCCATCGTGGGCCTATCACAGTTGACTTTATTTACGTGCGGTACGTGATGATTGCCCACTCAGTATTTTCATAACAAAGACACGTTATGGATGTTATGATATAAAATATTATCGTTGAATGCATGCCAACGGAAGTGACGACAAACGAAATATAATTATGTGAGATAATACTTTGTTTCAGGTTATATGACCGCATGTTTGAGATATTTACCATGTGCAAGGTTACACATTCACTAATTTATAATTTACGCAAACTTCTCGTTCTATAAAGTACAATATACCTTTATGAATGATATTGGCACAACAACAAAGATTTTTACTTTATTTTTATTCATATAAATGTTAATAACAGTTTAATCAAACCAGCAAATCGACGAGTACGGGCGCAGATGTTAGAAATCCCTCATTTCAATTTGAAATGTGAAATTTATAAGTATTTATAAAGACGAACGGAATGCCCGTGTTCTACCCAGAGTATATACAGTAGTGTATTAGAAGCACTTGTTGCGGTTCGTGATTCGTTGTTGCCATGGATACGTTGAAAGAAGGTTGACGACGGGTACTCTTAAACAAAACACATATTGTGGCAATTTGCATACCAAATTAAAATTAAAAGAATATCAGTTTGAAATAACACAATATTTTGTATACAAATAACATTCTATGTAAGATGTCACCTCCTATAGTTGAATCAGACAAATGACTTTTTGTTCATCTCATACTGAAACATTGCTATACATTTTTTTATGAATGCATAGATGTGAGAGAATTTTGGGAATCATTATTTATGCTATGGGGAAACAAATTAAATCTACATAGATTTCTCGACCCTAAACAAAGCTGTTAGGTAAGGAATACAGATTACTCGTGCCTGCTAAACTCGTTATATTCGTGGTATGGAAGTATATATATCAGTGTAGGTAAGGAAAACAAAAGATAAACTTCATTGCTTGTAAAAGGTATGTTCAATACTTTCAAAAGATTAAATTGTACATAATACTGTCTGCAGGAGAAACAAGTTGGACTTGCATCAAGAAGTGGGGATAATTTCTTGAAATGTATTATGTAGATCCCTTCACAAAGACCACTGTAATGTCATCTTATTAGTAGTAATTACCAGGCATCTGTATATGCTATATAAACTGTGAAAGTATGCCCCAATAAAAAAATGTTTTAAATACAAAAAAGTTGATAGAGCGATATTTATATATTTTTTTGTTTTGTATAAACTATAAAAAAAATGTTTGTCAGCACAGTCGCTTGTAACATACATAAATATGACCGTTAAAAAAATGTCGGCCTTCTGTGTATAAGGAATGTATCAGATGATATCGATGTTTGATGAACGTCGTAGTTATATTTGTGTCACAGTCGATTGTGGTTGTCACCCATTCGACTAATCGTGGCGATAGTGTGCATGACGTCATTATCGCGTCGCGGATGGGGTCATTCTATTCGCGGAATATGACAGTATCAATGAATATTCTTATAGTCATTTTGATTTGAACGAAATTTATTCATAAAATAGAAATCTTATCATTCCTATCAATATAAGGCAATGGCAATAATCTTTTAACAAGCTATTATAAGCCCCAAACGAAGAGAATCAAATATACACCCGCTGTATGTAACTGGAATCTGCGTTCTCTTCGCCACGTCCCATAACTTATTAGGGAAATCTCGGGGAAATCCGTCACGTCCAGGCTGGATGCCAGTTATCATCTTTCGTTTTCTAAGATCACGATTATAATACATAAGTACACGTAGCGACCCATGATCCTACTCTTTTCTGATATTGTTTCCATAAGTACCGTACTAACGTTTGCAACACAAGACTGGTGCAAACGCCGACGTCTTTCAGCTATCAGGGTGTTAAGCTACTATATCGCTTCAATGAAGGCGCTAAAGAACTGTGTCCGTAATCTCGTATCATTTAGCGGTTAACGGAATAAAGTAACAAAGGAATTCTACGATTCCGGTTACTTTCGGTTAGGCCCGCCACACGACAGCCTGTATGCTATTGACTATTCATGTCAATCAACATTCAAAATGAAGACATAAACGCGAAATGGGAGCCCCACCCCACCCGACTATAGACTTTCCACACTGCTTTGAGAAAACAAATTCATATGGCGTCGCACCCGAACATTGCAACAGTTTGTTATCTTTCAATAGTATTTTCGCAGATTGTTTTGATAACAGATACCCTGGTCATTGACTTGTTTTGAGTGCCCTGTACGTATTTTTTATGAGAACGAGAACAAAGACATATATATATGTTTTCCCCAGTAGTTCAGTGCTAGCATTATTTCATTAAACGTGGTGTGTTCATTTGCATAACCAAATGTACACCAGGCAAACACTTTTTTTATACTTTACACACGAACGAGGCTAAACGATAGTAGATGTGGTAACGTACACAGACTAGGGCTAAATGGTTAGATTTACTAACTACATAATGCCTGCCATACGCACGTTAACGTGTTTCTGTGTACATACGTTGCCATCGACGCAGTTAATCGTGTTTTGCTCAGCAACATCTTTCGTGCTCTACGGAATACTCAGAATCCCAGCACTAAGAGTTCAAAAAATGGTCAACAAATTAATAGCCAGTAGCCAATCGTAAACTAAAATGTTTTGCAAAATGGCGTAACTTCGTTTATTTAAGTTGCACCCCTGGCAACTTTAAATGCTACGACTATTGGGCAAAAAAAATGAATTTCTTAATAAGCGCAAACTGCAGTAATTCGGAGCAGGGGTGAATGTAAATTTAGCATTTCTATCTTGTAGCTCGGCTCTACTATTCATACCTTCGATAACGCACAGTTTTCCTTCAGCATTTACTAGGAAAGTACTCTTTGTTCGTTACAAACAATACTAACTTACTAGCTTCTTTGTTTTCAACAAAACCTGATTGCTACAAATTGGGTTATTCTCACATATATCAAGTGGAGAGTACAGCATTCTTTCTCGCTATTTAAAAATGGAAAATTCTAGATACGTGCTAACAATTTTCTGATCAGCTGGGCGAGCTGTGCGGATGCATTGTCGCTCACTGAATGAATAAAGCAAATGATTTGAGATGCAACATGTAGTTCACCATGATATGTACCCAAATCAGGTGCGATTTCTATAGATCGTCGGCCCATTTTCCATCTATACAAAAGTTAAATAACATACGTATAAACACACAGCCTGCAATTGGTCTGCAGAAACAAACAATACAGTAATTCGGACGATAAAAGCCTGTTCGAGGTCTCGGACACTAACTCATTTCATCAACCCCCAAACAGTGCCAAGAACACAATACCCTGATCTTAGTGTAAGATTTTATAGTATTTGATTACGTTTGGCGCCAATGTTGTATTCACGTCAGTATATTTTGAAATAGCCAACAACAACTAGGACTACCGATATTTGTGATCACTCATTTATCATACATGTGCGCGTTAAAGCATTTATCAAACATATGCTGGAATACGGACACGCATTGTACAGACAGAAGAAACAATGAACAAATAACTTGAATGCACGGATCGTACTTAGTATAAAAGGTCACACATTTTACGTACATACCAGTGTAGCCTAAATATAATTCATATTCTAGGAAAGCGCGAATGGAAGTGTTTCCATTTTTAAACTGTTGGTCAATCCCTGCCGTCTTACAAGCACAGTATTATGAGTAAAAATTTCTGCGTCGAACGAAAATCAGTTCTCACCGTCGATCGGGGGTAAACGCCCTTAACGTGTTGTTCAATCGAAGGAATCGATTAACTGGTTCAATTTATTCAAACGAAACAAACAATTCGCCAATAAAACCACAGTACGCTGAAGCAGTTCGACTAAATTGCCAGTATAAATATTACAAATATCGAAAGTCAAGGACGATCTAAACGCTATATTGTTTATGGCCTTGGCATATTTGTAACTCGAAATAATCCCATACCGGGTTTTCAAAGGACCATTGTTACGTCCGAGTCTGAAAGTAGCTTTAGGTTTCTTCGTGGCGGAACTCGGGTGGGTTGTTCTGCTGGCACGATATGTCATCGGGGGATCACTTCAAAGGCAATTGCTTAAAATTTCTAAACTAGTGTTCATAGAAAGAGAAAAGATTTCCTTTTGATCCATAAATGTAACACCCAACCCCCAATTCAGTTGTATATGGCCACACTAGACATGTAAATCTGTCCGTATGAGGGGCATGAATTGGGGAGCTGGAGGGTGGGGGTACGGTTAAGGGTAGGGTGCAAAATAAACTATTTCCATTGTATTTACTTAGCGACTCGAAAAGCTGTTCAACAGCTGAGACGTCGAACAAATGGAAAAAAACACAAAACATGCGAAACCGGCTTACCTTTATTATGTCAGTAGTAAACACACGCGATAACTGGGTATTTTATATATTGTATGCGTCTATCTCGACTTTCACTCCGATACCTGTAAAGGAAATAAACGTTTTGTTTATGATATTTGTAAAGATGCGTCCAGTCTCGCTCTCGCATATCAAGATTCCTCATCGATATAACTGACTGGGCACCTTTTGTAATTGAAACATTAATCTAGTAGCTGTCAAAATATTTAGCAGGCTGTCAATCAGTTACCGTAGCAGGGGGAGACAGTTTACTCGATAGATGAGAATAGAATGTTGCTGTACCACTACAGACTGAGAGCCACAACGCGTCCAATCAAAACAAACAAATGACGTCATACTCTGAGGTATGCCACCCGTTGCACATAGAAAAGAAAACGAAAAGTATTTCGAGAGGCTACTTCGAATTTCCAAACTCCACCTAAGAATGTTTTAGCATTGATAATTATGCAAAGTTTAGAAGTTCAGTAAAAAAAAATACTACTGACAAACGCCCTGGGTATAAATAAAAAGTTACTCCAAAATACACATCACAAAAATGTAACACATTGGACGAAAGATGCTGCTATGATTATCGTGGCATCTAAACCCTATTAGTTGTCCATATATCTCAAACATTCAAACAAGTATGCTGCTCCGTACGCACCTGGTCGGGTCACACCCAAAATAGAATTGCTAAAAAAAGATAGCAACGACCTCATTACGAATTTGCACAGGTGTTTTGGCGATTTAGCAGTACCAGAACTTGATTAGTACCCCAGGTTTATGTACGTGTCCATTCATGTCATGCCAGTTGTACATGAATCGCATTCAAATTCACAATTTACTATCGATGAGAAAAATATAAATCAAATATCATAGCATTATAAAAGCAACGCAATTCTCTGACACAGCCTAATGAAAAGTTAGTAGGTCATACCTGAAAAAACTGACGTAACTATCTCTATTAGGGGCTGCATGTCGTGGCGGTGATCCCAGTGGTGTGTCAGGGGAGCGGTCAGTCGTAGCGGTGATCCCCAGTGGTGTGTCAGGGGAGCGGTCAGTCGTAGCGGTGATTCTAGTGGTGTGACAGGGGAGCGGTCAGTCGTAGCGGTGATTCCAGTGGTGTGTCAGGGGAGCGGTTAGCTTTACCTGTATATACGCGCTGATTTTTACTACCGGGTGACATTGAAATGAGATAAGGGTATTCGATATTTTTTTTTATGAACGGGGATATCGTTTTGTGTACTCACCGATTGGGAGAGACGCTGAGAGTCGTGTTGCTGTTATTGTTGTGGTCACTTAAGTGTTCGAAATTCGGGAGGTGTGACTGGTGCAACCAGCGCTGATTGCACTATGTCGTCAATCCCAAGATGACAGGCTGTCTGTCTCCTCCTCGTTGTCTGCCTGGATGTCTGTCTACCGTATGTGGCTAGCACCCCTCATCAGTCTATGTGGTTGATTTCGTCCACTTTCACTATATCATCAAAGCTTCGTTACTATGGTAGCGTGTCCGACTGACAATGCTGTGCGGTGCCTGCGAAGAGTATCTGGGTGCAAGAGCCGAAGTTCCAAGTGAAGGATGCCGCTAGTTATTATTGAAGTTCTTGGCCGGCTGACCGTTGAATGACACTCTGTTCCGCTCTTACGAACCTTTTACGAAGCTCACACTTTTTCTGTTAGAATACAAGTAAACAAGTACACACTTTAAAGAAAGCCCCTTTCATGGTTTAACGCACTTTAAGATGAAAATTCTTGTAGCAAAAACATCTGCAGGAACTCAGAGGGAGTCCAGTTGAATTGAAGAAACACCTACAAGTATTTGGACACAGTCCTCTAGTCGTAGCAAATTGGAACACGTGTATACGTCTTGCACCTGCACATAACGAGTGTGACATTGAGAACAATACTGTGGTATGCGTACAAGTAGTCAACAATGGTCCCCCCGCGCTATATAAGAGCGACGTGCATGAACTCCAGGCATTGAGTCTGTATGTAAGCATGGGCGTGTGTTACTGAGAACAATGCATACCCCTTGTTTCGTTTCACTTGTTTAGCCTTCATGTATGAATGAAATTTTGCCAGCTTTTTTTCCTTCAGTTCAAACCCCGAGATGTTACTTATGACAAGTACCCCTTATTCCCCACGACCTCAATTAATAGCCCGAAAACCAGAAACAATAGGACACCTGTTGTACGTGTCAAGACAATGACATTTCTCAACGGACTGTTAAATATCAAAACAGCGTGATTTTTCTTAGTGCTTCAAATTCCAATATAGAATAACACAATACATGTTTTGCCGCGATCTCAAACCACGAATACATCATCTGAACAAAATCAAATACCAATATTTCCGTTTCTCCTTGCAATTACTGTGTTCGATGGTATTCGAATCATGTGGTTAATGACCCCAGTCTGACCAATACACTATAGACGAATCTTGGCAAATACTGCATTAAAGTTTACGCATTGTAAAATTACGAATTGGTTAATTTTATCTCGTGGGAGGGGGTCCGAAACATACTATGTTATGAATGGATCCGAATCATACTACGTCATGAATGGACCCGAATCATACTATGTTATGAATGTATCCGAATCATACTAGGTTATGAATGGCTCCAAATCATACTATGTGATGAATGGATCCGAA